TGGACCCAAAGGCCAAACGCTAACAATGAACTTTGTTGGGGGAGATGTTAGATAAAAAGACTATTTTTACCTAAAACTGCCTATTTTGATGCATTGAACTTGATGTCGTTTTCGATCGACCATTGATAAGCAGCATTAAGTGTTCTCTGAAGTGCCAGCGAATTCTCGGGCTTTTACACTGTTTTCCACATTTTTACATCGTCTGTAAACATTACCGTTTGTGGTCCCAGAATTTCCGTTAGATCCTTCATAAAAACTAGAAAAAGTTGAGGGCTAAGCACGGATCTCCATGGAACTCCTCGGAGTTACACTGATAGGTTCAGATAGTGACCCGGAAACCTGAACTGTCATGGTGCGTCACGGAACAAATTAGTCTATTTAACGCAGTACAAGTTCCCGAATTTTACACTTGCGTAATTCATTTAGCAGTATTTTATGGTTCACTCGGTCGAATGCTTTGGAGAAGTCGAGGTACACTACGGCCACTGCATCACTATGATCAGCTCCTTTTGTTCAATACTCTCAGACCAGAAGCAGGTTAGTGGTACACGATCGCCTGCGACGATAAAACCATTGTTTTTCCAAGTGACTCATCACGTTGTCTGAAACAATGAATTGCATGACTTTGGATAACACAAGGAGGACAGTAACGGGGCGGTAGTTAGCTGGGTCACTACGACAGCTACATCTGCACATTGGTGAAGTTATTCCTTGTTTCCATGTTTGTGTGAGCACAGTGTTGCCGAACATTTTTTGTGATTGAGCTATGTTACTTACCTTAGCTTAAATTCGATATGAACAACAGATGCCCATCCAGAAAACATGAAAAAGCGACCAATAAAAGCACATGAAAGATTTGAAATAAAATTTGATTTATAACAAGTGAATAAATGAAATAAAAGAGACAATGACTTTGATAAGAAGGCGTCAATCTCCCTATAACATTTAACCTTGGCACATAACACTTCCGCTTATGAGATGCGTTGTCCGGCAATCAAAGTCGCTCGTTGGTTTGTGGATCCAGCAAAGCTACACCCGTTACGTAACTGTCTCCCGAATGTGGATAAGTTGGCCTTATGGCTACAGTCATTTAGGAAGAGGCTTAGGAATTTAATATAAAATGCTGACTCGCCCGGTGCCACGGGATACGTTTTATTCGAGTGCAAATATCTAGGCTTCCCACAGATAAACCGCACTGTAACCGTGTTCTTTGGGGAACCAATCAATATGTTACGGTTCAAACATCTTTCGGATGATTGTAATCAGCCACGACATCCAGTACGTATGATTCAGGAGACAAGGTGACGAATATAGTTTATATGCCGCTTCCTAAAACTTCCATCGCACCGGTAAACAGAAAAGGGGCATGCAACCGTAATGAGAAGTGGACCACACCTTCACATGTCCCGGTGTTGTTGGCGGACTCGTGATATTTACAGCTCCAACCTTGTGCATCAACGGTAGCTTAGTGAGTGAGACAAGCTCGCAGTTAAGCACCAAAGTGATCGTTCTCATATGTGTAACCAGAAAACGGACCTGGTACCATTCAACTATACTACTTCCAACTCCATCCCCCCACTTCTTTTTTCACTTCCTTTGGTTGAATATACAAACGTACAATTTTCAGAAAGAGGGAAGTGACCAATCAAAGAGCTGCAATTCCACAACCAATGAGGAAAGTCAGACGGTGGTGGTGGGATTCGAACACATCCCGGGGTGATAATTTGGTAACATTACCTTCGGGCCACCACCACCCTTTGGGATCTACCAAACCACCGATCGCACACAGGTCCCGACTGCTTGCTTGAATGACACACCGATCGAACTATTGCCCTCACCTATAAATTTATTCAAAGTCCAGTTGCCAAGCCGGAACGCTGTATCCTTGTGACAGGGGCAACCCTAACTTTCCATCGAGAATTCTCGCAGTTTGCAGTTGAATTGGATTGGGATCAGCCGACATCGTGAGAACGTGTCAGCGTTGTCTCGGCGTCTTCGATGCGTAGGAGGGCATTCTCTCCATCGCCGCCGTCGTAACCTCGATTCCGGACAAATGAACCGACTGTGACCAACGCCATATCAATCGCATGTTTCTCCTTTCCTCAATCCACGTCTGTCTGGTACCAATACTAAAGGCTTGTAACATTTGCAACTGTCTTTTAACTGGAAGCGTTGGCAGACACATCGTGGGATGGGGTGCGGTGGTAGCTTGGCGAGACAAAACCCCGTAATTGTTAAAAGCACCAAGAGACTTGTGAATAAATTCAGAGTCGACGTGAAGGGCTCTGTCCAGACCATCGCGACTTCTGGACTAGGGATACGGTAGAAAGCATATCCAGATGCATAAGAGACGCACGATCCGATCAACTCGTCTAGATGTATTAACGGATGCGCTGAGTAAGATCAAGGACCAGGGATGATTGCGATTTTAAGACAGGGAGGCTAACGCAGACGGGATAAGAACAGATAAGTGTGGATCCAAACTATACCTTTTCCCATGAGGCCTTAAACATAAATCGCAATCGTTTAGCCCCGACCCACAAATACTCAGTCATGAGTTGTAGTTCTTTAATCTCAACGCACAAAACTTTAGTGGCACGCCACTGTAGACTAGTCAGACTAAAAATCATCAGAATGGTTTGACGCCCGTGAATATTGAATCACTTTATTATTTTATGCAAAAATTCACATTGCAATGCTTGGTAAACAAAGGATGTTACGATGTTATAATCGTATGCTGTGCAGTTGGTATTCATAATTGCATCGCATGTTGCAAAATAAAGAAAACTAATTGCAGTAATGGATTTGTACTTGGAGTACTATGTTGTATAATGTTTAGTTGCAGACAGTCAATGTGTCCACTTCTTTAAGCCGATCAGCCGTTAAATCAGGGTAGGAAGTGGTGAGCTTTTATTTCTTTTATGACATCGCATCTTGATTTCTGTCAGGGCTTGTAAAGGTAAAACAATATACAGGTGTTGATCAAACTCGTGCAACTTGACCCTCATTTTGGAAATACATTTCAGTTTTCAATATCATACCTGTATGTTGATAGCTATGGGTGAAGTGTATTTATTCCTGACTTTATCCCGTATTGCAATGTTCTTAGTTCTCTTTCATCACCGTTTGAATTTTTTTAAGTGTCTCTTAACTTCCTTTCTCATTTATTGAATATACAAATGTACAGTCAACATTCAGGAAGGAGGGCCGCGGCCATACAAAGGCTGCCTGGGAAGATGGGTGGTGGTGGAGCGGTTCGAACCCGGGACGTCCAGGTTACAAGTTGGTGACCTAGCCACTTGGCGCGACCTTAAATGTCGCGATAAAATTGGTAGTAGTTCGACAGTTACGGCTCAGATTTGGAAAACATTTAATGCAACCAGGATGGGATTTCATTCTTTCTAATTCCTTTCTGATTCCGGTTTCATAAGTGTTTGAGGTTGAACATAAGTATTCTAAATTGGACAGTGGTCATTCCCGAGGTAAATGTTCAGTTACTACCTTTACCCTAACCTCAAAGGATGTGATACTGCACTACACTATCCTGTCTTTCAGAAAAATCGCATATCGAAGTGTTGGAAGCCAAGGGAACTCGCCGACAACACACGAATCTGGATGCTCGATTGGCAAGAGCCACAAATCGTCCTGTGAGAACTGAACTGAATCACTTCTCATTCAGTGCACGCTAAATAAGCTGAGTAATGAACATTCTCCAGCTTATATAGATTGAAAAATTATTTGGCTAAAAACTACTTATGCATTATGTCTAATCCTGAAAGAACTAAAAGTATATTCCAACAAACATAAAAGATGAACCTCGAACGGTGACCTTGAGGTGTGCATCTCGTTGAACAAACGTCTTGTGGTGTCACCATACCCAAAACCGGATGATACACGCAAGAGATTTCGGCATATATTTGAAGCCAAGAGGCAACTTATTCGAGAGACAAATTCGATGAGTCAGTTTCCGGCTTGTGCAAGTACTTCGATGTGAATGTAAGTCCAATTTGTTGCGTGATCAACGAAACTTCTCCATCAAGACATAAACCAAGAGCAAGAAAACCAACCACAATGAAGCAAGACGATGATTGAATTTTATCGCAGCTGACTTCATTGACATTCGACGAATATGGGATTTAAGTACGGATATGTTGCGTCGGATGTGGGGCAAGATCATACTCAATCCGATAAATCAGGCTCGAAACACTACACGTTGGGAGAAACAAATACGATGAAAGACAGTGTTCACGAGTTTAATCAATACTTGTATTGTTGATGTTCCATTACGGATTTCTACTTACAGACGTAGTGCGTTTTGGATACGTTTTCCTTGAAAAGTCGTTATGCTATGTTCGATCCGTCGTCATATAAACACAGTGTGACCGGCCGCAGTAATGTTTGTCGTACCTAACCCGTCACTGTACGCATCCACTATGTGGATAGCACTGATACCAATGCTAAGAAAAGACCCTGTCATTTCATCAGCTGGAAGGGTTGACCTTCTACTTAGTTCACCAAGGTGTACAACACAAACGACTGTAAACAAAATAAAAATTTTCAACAACTGTTGATCTCAGAACATTCCAATACCTTTTGGTCTGACTTGTGTACACCGGCATAGCTAAAACTTCGTGTGATGAGCCTCTAAAGGATTTTGGGTTGAGGATGAAGGATTGTGGGGTTTGAATAAAGCTTGAAGGGAAAAGGTATGGTCACATCCATGTATGGATTTGAGCTAGTGTTCTTTGAGAATCATTTGAGTTTACCATTCGGAGCAGGTACAGAAAGTAAAATGGTGTGAATTTTTATTCGTGCTCATCTTTGTGCCAAACGGTCACTTCTGTAGGCTAGCACTAAAGGTTCGGGACTCATGATACCTCGAATAGAGAAACAAATCGACTCCAATCACGAATGAGACCCATCAAATGGAGTCGTTGTACGACCTGTACCACAGTTTTACCAACTCATGTTGATCCAAAAAGGCGATACCGTGAGGGCTAACAGGACATGTTTTTTTTACTAAACTACCCGATCGTAATGTGAACGCACCAAAATGCGTGTAGGGATTAAAAAGAAAGGACACTCACTTGTGTTCGGTGGGTGAGACAATCTGAAACACATTACGACGATCATCACAATCCGCGACCTCGGCATACACTCCCTTCTGATTGAGATCAATGAGCAAACTGGCTCCGAGCTATGATCCCGGGGTGTTTGTGAGTAGGATGGAGATGGAATGAGAAGCGACAAACACGGAGGGATAAAAAAAAGTTGGTCAAATGACTGAAGTATAGGGAAACGAAAAACAGACTGAAGAACACTTTTCATCAGTCTCCAGGATGAACATGGATGCATAGAACGGGTGTAACCAGATGATAAATCTAGTATCACATAAAACTCCGTTCTCTGATTCACAAACACCAATGCCTGATACCTTGAGTTAAGACCTAGATGCAAGCCGGACCAGAAGAAGCTAAACTGAAGACCCCAAGTGTCTTATCTTACGAGTAACCAAGTGAAGGCTCCGTTAGCATTTGCCAACTTGAGACATCTGTGGCGCCGTCGCAACATCCGGTTGTCTGTAAAGGGTCGAGTGTATGCCGCAGCAGTTCGGCCACTACTGCTATACGGTGCAGAAACTTGGCCATTAAGATAAAGACACTGTCGGTACTTGAACACCGGTGTCTACACAGCATTGCACGAATCTGGTGGGGTAGCCAGAAGAACAATGCTGAGGCTAGGCGCAGTTTTCGGTATCCGCGGTCGCCCACTGGAGCAAGTGGTCGACCTCCATAGATTACGTTGGTTGCGGCATGTGCTACGCATGTCACCAGATAGGTTGCCACGGCGAGCAATGTTCGCCGAGGCAATTAGTGGGTGGAAGAAAGTCAAGGGTGGCCAAGTAAAGACCTGGCATGAGGGTATGAAAACGCTGACCAGGAGTCTGGGTCACGTAGGTCCCGTTAAGCTCCCTGGCTGGGGACCTCGGGATGATCGTACCCGATGGTTAGAGACACTGAGCGATATGGCTAGGTGTCGCAAACAGTGGCGTTCTTGCATATTCTCAATTTGTTTGCAATCTTAGACCACTGAACTTCTCCATTTTCTGTTCGACTCCACCTTCAACTTTCCTGTCTTCTCCTACTATTCATCCAAATGGGCAGCCAAAGGACAGCAAACCAAACCGGTACACGAAAGAGCATGGTTGATGGTTGTTCAAACTGAAACTGAACCAAGTGATACACGTCATCGTCTTAATTTCGATGAAAGCACTTTCTGATATCACAAGGAGGTGACGATGAAGATATGTTTGACAGGCAATTTTGCAAACTCAGTCCGCGGGAATACGGCACGTGGGATATTACAATTCGACCGTCGAACCAGCTGATGCGTGCGAAAAACTGACTGGTCTTTTCCTCTTGTTCCGCCCGCCAGTGAGAGTACGCAAGTGGGTGAAATGAATAAAATAAATAGATGACTACATAATCACGGCATTGATTCAATACATACAAGGATAAGTCACACTACTGGGAGGTTGGACGAGTCTTTGAACAACTTCGGATTACCTGATGGTAACCCTTTCATTTTGCTACCTTTCCTTTCCGACCAACAGCGCACAGAGAATACATGGTTTTGAGTTTCAGTTTGAACAACCATTAACCATGCTCTTTCGTGTACCGGTTTGTTTTGCTGTCCTTTGGCTGCCCATTTGGATGAATAGTAGGAGAAGACAGGAAAGTTGAAGGTGGAGTCGAACAGAAAATGGAGAAGTTCAGTGGTCTAAGATTGCAAACAAATTGAGAATATGCAAGAACGCCACTGTTTGCGACACCTAGCCATATCGCTCAGTGTCTCTAACCATCGGGTACGATCACCCCGAAGTGGCCCAACTGCTGCGGCATACACTCGACCCTTTACAAACAACCGGATGTTGCGACGGTGCCACAGATGTCTCAAGTTGGTAAATGCTAACCGAGTCTTTTGTATGCACGCCGATTTCACCTGCGACGCATCCGCCAGGTGAGATATAGCTGCCCAGATAGTAAAATTCGTCTAATCCCTCTACTGCTTCCCCAGTCAAGATGAGATTCAGGCCTGGACCAAGCCAACCTGGTAGCAACATGATATACTTTCAAGGTGCAAAACGCATACCGAGCATGGCTAAACTAGCACTCAAGCTATCCAGAAAAGCTTCCAACTTACCTAGATCTTCACTCAGCAGTACAATGTTGTTTGCATACTCTAGATCAGACAGTCTACCATCCGGAAGTAAATCGATACCGCTATCCTCGTACGAGGATAGGGCTGTTTCAAAAATTAAATCTATGATAAATTTAAACACAAACGGAGAGAGAGGGCGACCCTGTCGAACATCACTTTCTGTAGTGAACTCATGTGAAAAAGTGCAGTAAGCTCGGACTCGGCTATTAGCGTAGAGGGATTGCAATATTGAAATAAACTTCTTGGGCACACCATCTAGAGCGAGGCAGAGCCAGAGTTTAGAGCGGTTGACTGAATCAAAAGCCGCCTTCAGATCGAGGAAAATAGACATGGTCTATGAAAGTAATGTCAGTGTTCTAGAATTTGACGAAGAGTGAAGCTGTGGTCAATACAACCTCGACCAGGTCTGAAACCGGCCTGGTTTTCACACGTGCACTCTTCACGTGCGGCAGACAATCGTCAGAGTATGATACCGGCGAGAAGGTTAGAAGCGATGTTAACTAAGCTAATTCCTCTGTGGTTTTCACAAGAAGACCTGTCAACTTTTTTGTAAATCGGTATGATCACCGATTCACACCTTTCGGTTGCGATCTGTTCCCTCTCCCACACTGAGCCCAGGAGTTTCGTTAACTGCAAAACCAAGGCTGAACCTCTATCCTTAAAAACCGATGGGGACAGCCCGTCTGGGCCGGAAGCCTAATACCTGTAGATGTAGTTTACTTCCCAGGTAACCTCCATTTCAGATGGAGGACTGCTGTCAACTGACAGTATTTGCCCAGTTGGGGAGATCTTGTGTCGACGGGAGTAGACAGAGTAGGTCGTTGGATTTTGTTCTCAGGAAAGAAAAAAGGAATATCAGAAGAGACATGGATTTCTAAATGTTGCCTGTGTTTTGGTGGCAGTCACCACCTATGAGGAAGCATGCGGCATATACGAAAAACAGCTCGACTTTTGTTGGTGATATTGTATTTGGCTGTTCTTTTTCGTCAGTTCCTTCGGAAAGGATAGGCGTCCCAAAACAAAACATCGAGATGAACAGGACACGAACACACATCAGAACACAAGTGGGTACGATTGAACAAGAAGACCAACGTTGCACACACACACACACCTCGCCATACTGCTGGGACATGAGATTGCCGGACTGAGTGAAACAGTAGACTTCAATCCAGCGTGATAATATGGCCGTTCGTGAGCGCAATAACAACCGACCGGCTTTGGACTGAAGTTTGGNGGAGTCGGTGACTGAATGGACAATTCAGCGTTGAGGTCTGTGAGGGGAGGGGAACGGAGCGGAGAGAGAGAGAGAGATCAAAAGCAGTTGGTGATGGAAAATGCGGTGTAATCAAAAACATACTAATGATACCAATTCAATTTAGCTGCATTCGATAAGGGCAGTATCTGGAAAACCAAACCCACGAGCAAGCCGGGAGGACCTGATTCTTTTTGTCTACACTCTTGAGGGAAGAACTGAAAAACCTAAAGGTTTCCATTCCGGAATTTTTCAGTCCAAGTGTTGCCTATCCGTCTCTATTTTCGACCCGGATTGCAAAATGATAATCTGTGTCTAGAACGACCACAGGCGAGATGCCAGCGCAAATCTGTAAAAAGCGTACGAAAGTAAGGAAAGCGTTTGTAAACAACGCGCTCATATGCTATCCCCATGGACGATGCACGGAGGGTTTTTGTTTCAATGATTGTCACTTACAGATGCATCAACCATATAGCCCCCGAACTGGCAAATCGATATCACTATGATTCTATTCTATCTCTCGCTTTCCTTTGGACACAATCCAAAAAACCGCGCAATCCGGTTGTACACGCATGCTTGGTATTTTCTCATTGGTTACATTTGAGAAAAGAATTACTGCACTACTTCGATTGGAACGCGTACCGAAACAAAAAAACAACTTATTCCAGTCAAACCATTTGCCAGCATGTTGTACAGAAATGAGGATGCATTTTCTTGTCCGTGGGAAACAGTTTGATCGTAGAAAACAGGCCCGTTTTCTAAACCGGACAGTTTTGTGGCCGTCCAGATCAGCACCACGCCAGGGCTTTGTGCGGTTCAACACTCCACAGTGCCAGGACTGTTTTTACAAATAGTTGACGCTCGGAGAGTGAATTGCTCTTTTGGGTGAGTGCCATGCGATTGAGTGTAATCGTCAGCAGACTTGAAGCGACCGGGAAACGCCACAAATCGAAGTGTTGTGTTCGCGTGTTGAATCGCACGCAGCCACACACATTTCTTCTGAAATGATCTCAGCGATTTGTTCGCAGATTATTATGTGAAGTGTGTGATTCGCGTTAATTCTGTAGACTAGTAAAATGTGTTTGCAGATCATTTGCTAAAGAAATGTGTTGTTCAGTGCATAGGATTCGTATCATCATTTGGAATGGTTAAGAAGGCCAAATGAGTAATGTGAGCATCAGTTTGGTTGCCGTTGGGTTATCGATCGCCCGGGTCGATAGCACAACCATTCTACTGAGCTTAGGTGTGGTCCACCACTAGAATTTCCAGGGCCCTATGGCCAGACTGATCGAGCGGCCTCTGTCAGTATGGGGGTAATTAAAAATCAATGAGCAACATGGCATTAGCTATGCATTTGGCGGAAAAATACGGAAGAAATAAATGGAAGAAGGGTTAAAAGCTAAGAGATGTGAACTCAATTCAAATTATTTGAATGCAAATGAAACCGGTATGTTCGCGCAGCTGCACATTTTCTCAAACTCGTCACTTATAAACAACAATAATGATATGGTGGTACTCGACCACTACTTTTCCCTATTTAAGATTCGGAAACCGTACGTTCAAAATGATGACTGCGAACAGAGCAGCTCAGATTGGAGGCGGCACTCACAACGTATCGTGGTGAAGGAGAGCGGAAAAACGCGCAACGCTAACGGAACCAGGAGCACAGGAAACAGCTGTCCAGTGCATTCTATCGATCAATAAAGCACAGGTTATACATTAAATACATAATAATTGTCAGCAAGCGAACAGAGTACCACAGATCCGAGAGTCTGCCGTCCATGAGTTCGTGTAAGCGAGACCCAGCACAACGCCTAAAATGGTCCCACTGATGTTCAATATATATATACAGGATATCACGCAGATTAGCCCAGTCAACCGGTGAGTTTTAAACATCACAACAATCTGGAAATTAAACAACCACTTACCTGAATCTAGTAGACGTGGTTCTGGACAGAACTTTGACAGTGGTTCGAATTCCAAATTGTTTACATGACTGCGAAATAGTAGCGCATTATCTTCCTGAGTTTGGACTCGTCTGTGATCGAACAATAGGAGAGAGAAATACGCTCAATCCCAGGTTGAAGATGGTTAATGGAAAATAGTAAGTTTATTGAAAGTGAAAGAATCAGTTTAAAGAAAACACGGGCTTCCCACATAAAAAATTAGGTGTCCATGAGAAACAAAATATCTCGGGTGTGATCGCATAGTGAGAGAAGCCAATAACATCCAATTAAAAGTTGATTACTATGTAGGTAACCCTTTTCATTGAATAATGCAACTGAAAGAACAATTTTACGAAAGGGGAGTAGTCAAACAAGGAATGACCAGAAAAGATGCAGAATCACGACATACGGTGTTCCCAGTCAGTCATTCTCGCGAGCATTGACCACACCCGCATTGGCAGAACGAATGTTTTCAACATAGTGTGGTCCCGACCATTTTATCTCGCCAGCCAAATGTGGTGCTGACCTTTTTATATCGGCTGAAATGATTCAGTGAATGTCATCCTGATCTATTTCAAGCTTCAACACTTGTCAAACTGTTTCGATCAGGCGGAAGCTATATCCTCTCACGGGTATAGTGCTCGTGCAAATTGAGGGCAAGGATATCAACCAGACCTCGTTTTCCAAACGAGACAGAGATGCTCCAGACACGAACGACACCACTCAATCTCAATACAGTTGCTCATAAGTGATGCATATGCACTGGTTTGTCCAAAGGCTTGAAGCACGGACTTGGATGGTACGTGTGTTTTATCATTGTGCCAACCTGGGGTTTTTCACCGGAATAACCAATTCAAGTTCGTTCCGACGTGGTCTTCAATGAGATTCAGCACGTTGCTGAGTCGACATTTTTGAGATAGAAAACAAAACACCAATCTTGTTACCGGTAATCAAATGTCGTCCCTCAAATTTCCTCTAATTTCACTTAGCACGAAGGTTTGAGTACATGTACCCGATTAAACCTATCTGATTTGAGGTCCGAGTAAGGATTTGGTGCATAACTATTTGTGAGTAGTACGTAGGATAATGATCCGTTTGTTTTTGACTCAGATGATGATTTTGTCACATGAACCGACGACGTACAGTTT